GCCCGCCTATGGTTTATCCATATTCTGGTACGTTTCTTGGCTTTACAGAGTACAAGGCTTTGTTTTGCCTCGGTAGCTCTGTTTTCAACTTTCTTCTCGTGCATGAGATAAACACAATATACAAAGAATCGTGAATAAAATTTTCCCAAATGATTTAGAGTGAGTTAGAATATCAAACTTTATAATAAAGTTCGGATGTAGGTCGCGCTGGCGTTGGCTAACTCATCAGGGCGATCTCCAGTCATCGCAATGAAGCAAGCCTCAGAAATTACATCGGCCTCCTACGAGTGAATAACTAAGGGAATAACTAAGGGCTTGCTCTGGTTTGCTTTCCAATGAGTTGAGTGGAAGGCCATATGAGCCAATAGCAGCCGAGTTTTACAGCGCTGACATCGCAAGCAATCTTCATGTTCCTGTGAATTCGGCTGTCTTTATTCATAAAACACATGCCTTTAGCAGTCTGTTTTCTAATTGTCCTGTAAAAATAAACTTGCGTGTCTTTATAACCAACAATTAAACTGAATTTCACTGAACATTTCACTTTCAGATCCTGCATTAGGGCCTAACAGCTTCAGGAAAAAGTGTTAGATTCTACCTGACGAACTATTTCAGTTTACAAACTATTGAAGATTATGAACTTTGATGGTTTGACATTTGTGACAGCTTTAGTCTTGTTCAACCAATCATATTAGAGATCCGATTGGTTTATTATAGCGTGCTTTATGAGAGTGTAGGGTATGCTGCCGCCACTATTGTTTGCTTTGGAAATAAAGCTTGTTTTCAAAATTTAAAATAATGCGTGGGGCATTGAACGGATTCTTTGTTGTAAAACAAATAAAAAAGCCTTGTCTGTGCTCTGTTCTGTTTTAAAGCAGTTACGAAGTGGCTAGAGCACTCAAGAGGTGGGGAGAAACTCGAGATGATTTCGTATTAGAGCAATCCACTTCTTTCTTGATCGACCAATCACGTTAAGTTACGGGTTACGGTGAGACACTTAGTCTCAGTTGTGGTAATAGTAAATAGTTGTTTGTAAAAGATGCACCATCATCTGATGTTTGAATTAAGTGTAGTTGTTAGCTTAATGTACGTGAAAATAACATAATTTAAAGCGGAAATGGTAAAGAGAAAAACTTTTTATTTTCATTATTGTTTTGTTTATATTACTAACATTACTATTTTTATCAATTCTAATCTCAAAAACACTTCAAGCGCTTTTCTTCCTAAACACCCTTAAGTTACATAAATAGTAACGTAAAGTTCCAGCTGTGCGTGGACAAGAACTAGGATCTTTCCAATTACATTTATTGAGATCCTCTTTCTTAATGTATAAATGTATAGTATTGATTATAACCTGTGCAATTTTCGTTAAACAATACAATTGAAATTTACCATGTGCTTCTATTGCTCAAACAAAAAAACAAAGTATGAGGATGAATCAACCTAAATCAGTTTCCTTAGCTATTACCTATGGTTTGTCTTCCCTTAGGATTGAAAAGAAACTCGCTTATGGTTTGCCTCATTTAATCAACGTTCAAGCATAAGAAAAAGACGATTATCAAATAAATCGTTTCTTAAATGACTCAGAGCTGTCTTAAAATATAAGATGTTTAGCGCTGGACATTAACGGTCTTTTTCGGGGCCTTAAGGTTTTTTTTTTTTTTCTTCCTCTTCTTTTGTTTCTAAATAAAGAAACGGACGGAACAATGGCATATATTTGTGTTTATTGGCGCCACATTGGACAAATTTCCAGATTTATAATTTATCGAAGGCGTTTGATTTCCGAGAAACGAAGAGGGCGCTTTGAACGCGGAAAACGACGAGATAGATTTTTGAGCCGTTCTAAGCCGTTATTCTTCGCTGCTCGGTAAAAGTGAAAGACATTCGTAAATTTCGACTGCATCTTCCCAAATGCTCACCGAGAAGGAGAAGTTCCCACGTTTTTGTTTGCTTCAAAAAAAATTTAGAGACAGTGTAAGAAGATTTTCATTCATTTTACGAGTGAAAATTATCCACCTGATTTTTTTTTTCGCTGAAAAAACTCCGGAAAATATCAAAACTGCTTCCTAGGCTTTTAAACTTTAGAAAATTTCCGTGGAGATTACCTGATCATAATGGTTAGACCAATTCCTACCACAAAGTTTGCGCTTTCGCTGTCTAAGTTGAAGTCTTTTTCAGTAGTATTATAAAGTTTGTGCCTTTATTTTGCACATCACTATTCCTCGTCAGTTTTTTTTTACAATTCCTGGTCAATTCGAGCGCTCTTATTGGTGTTATCGCACTTTTTGACGGCTTTAATGAGAATCAGCGACTTGATCCTAAATAATAGTAAATTTATCATTTCTTACAAACTTCACCCATATTTAAATCATCAAAGCGATAAGCCACACTTTCTATCGGTTTACCGGCTCAATAAGACAAATTATCCGAATTTGTTTAAACTACTGGGCTGTGCCTAATGACTTCTGAACAAGGGAATCAATGTGCTCGAAAAGTACTTTTCCGGCTATGTGATATATAATCCTAATAGAGTTACAAATAAATTATTTGATAATTTAATTTAATAAATTCACCAGCATAAAAATCTACCAGAAGTATTGATGATTATGATGACTACTGTAAACCCCTGAAGTATAAGTACCAAGAATCAATTAATGTAGTTCTTTGTTTTACATTCAGTTTATGCCACAGTAGCGGTAAGGACATGATGATGTTTTAGAAAGTTTGTAGATATAGTACGATCCACAGTATTTTACTGAAATCGATTTGCTCTTCTCGCATTTGTCAGGAAAACGATCAAAGCAAACTGTCATGGGAACCACAACATTGCCCACTCTAGGATGAGCATCTTTCAACCGGCCTGAATAAGTTGCACCACAGCCGTAATTCGTTTCCTTCTCAGTCGGCATTTTTGTTCCTGCAGCTCCCACAAAGCGATACCATCCGTCAGGGAGCTCCTTGTCACACAAATCAGTAGGCGAGTGATTTGTTATGGCACTGATCTTTCGGTTGGCCTCACTTAGGTTCTTGTAATGATGGCAAGGATCGGCTACAAAGTGAAATTACAATTGTGACAGAACCATAGTCATTAGAACCAATGATTATATATTTTTTTTACCGTTCTACAATTCTGGCAATTTACCAACAAGCTGCAGGACTTGCATTTTACAAGAGATAAGCTTGTGCTTTTGAAAGATATTTTCAGTCGACATGGGTAAGAAAGGTGATTTGAGAAATCACATGATACTTTGGATAACATGTCTCCATAGGAATCAAATAACCTGGAAAAATGAAAAAAATTTCAACCCTGTTCAAATTTTGTGTGCAGCCGAACACTTACATGATATATATGCACAGGATTTTTATTTTTGAAAAAAAAGATAGTTCATTCTTGTTGCCATTTTAACAACGGGTGCTAGTTCAAGACTAAAGACCTCATTCTAAAGTAAATAAATATTAAACTAGAAAAAAGTCCTAGTATAACATGTTGTAGGGCAAATCGGCCGACCTCAACATGTTGCAAATGATGTACGAAAACGTTTCGCCAGAGTATTTAATATCGCTGAAATGAAATACACATGAAAGGAGGTCAAGTAACCTGAATTTGGATGAAATGGACACGACAAAGCGACAAAATGGTTTGTAATCGCCACATGATCAGCAACGATTCAGACCGAGCCTATTGAATACTTGCCCTAACAAGTTGAAAGGCGTGAAAGAGACCAAACCTACCTTCACAGTTCAACCCATCTCCAATGTACCCAGGATTGCAAGTGCAGTTGTACGAACCCTGAGTATTAGTGCAAGAGGCACTATGATGGCAAACGTTTATTTTGCACTCGTCAATGTCTGGAAGACAAAAAACATACATAGCTCAGAATGGGAAATTACAGGAAATTTGTCAAATGAGTATTGTGAATCTGAAAAAAACTCACATTTACGTCACTTCAAGTGTTGACAAAGACTCATACCCTTTTCACAACGTTCTCCCTCGTATCCAGGAGGACATAAGCATCGATATCCTTTGAGTGTAAATCCAGACTGGCAAGTTGCTTTATTTTCGCAGTGGGAACTCTTGTCACAAGCGTTCTGAAGAAGGAAAAATAAATAGATAAAATGAAATAACAAAAGAAAGATGGACGGATTGAATAAAAGAAGAAACTCAATACAGAATGATCGAATGTACGAAAATTTGCATAAGCATTAATTACTGTTTATATGTTATTCCAAGGTCACAATTTTTAAAATCGATTTGCAGCTCACCTTCGAGCCACGATAATAAAAATTGACACTATTTGTCAACTTATTGTCATATTTCAGATGCGTGGCGTTATTTAGTTCACAGATGTGAACTGGGTCCGTATTCTCTGGATCTTTTTGAAGTTAATGCTGACACAGTTGTCGTTCAGATAGCACAAAAGCTCACAATCATCAAAGTTCTTGACTTTTCTTGTTTCGATAGTATGGTTTACCAGTCGTCTTTCAGCAAAGAAGTAATAGTCCGGAAACACCATTGCGCGCTCTAGCTCTAAAATAGACAAATTGAACTATGATTATAAGGCATTCTTTTCCGTCGCAAAAAGAATTAAATTTCGAGTAAAAAGTTCTAAGAACAAATCTCTTAGCAAAAATTCCCGGATCTCAGCAAAGGGAGTTAATTAGCGTTTGCTTCTTCAATATCGTTGTCATCAGTGCAATTAACCTAATTTGAATTCTCTTGTAGGGAGCCATTTTATATTTCAAAAAGTTAGACCAGGGATGTTCTTTGAGGTTTTTTTTTTTTCCTTAATTTAAACAGGTGCTTGATTATTGAGTGTTTATTAAAGAGATGTTTAGCTGAAGAGGTTCCTTGTGGCTTTTTTACTTCAAACTGTTATCGTGAACGGGGAAATTCATGTAAATCGAAGCAAAAAAAAAACATTCTTTTCTTGTGTCAGTGAACAGAGTTATATTAGTTTTTTCAAAGTTTTATAAACGCACAAATCTAAAATGAATTTTTACTTTTTGCAAACCAACGTAGGCTGTTAGAATAACTTAGCTATAGTGAATATAATCAACTCTTTATTTCCGTCGTTTGTTTCTGAAAACAACTCATTTATCTGATCATCGTTTTTATGTATTCATGTCGAATAAAGTCCACCCACACATTTTTTCTGCTGTTGAAAAATAATGATCACAGCAACAGGGTTTTACAAATTCTGAATAATACATATTTGAAGAAATATCAGTCAAGCTATCCTTGCAGTGAGACTAATTTTGAAAGAACACAAAATTGGAAAATTACACGAAGCTTCTGTGCAAAGATTTTGTCAAAGATCTTCTCAATCATCCTATTTGTTCTTTGGCAAGTCTGAAACCCTCCACTTCAAAAAAGTAATACCCGCAAGTATTTTGTGTCAAAGGGTTTTTTCATTTCCACAAAAATGGTTAGAAACTTATAAGACGGGCTACCCTATCTTCATAAACAAATTTTTAAAATCAGAAAACGTGGTCTATTACAAATGCCAGCATTTTTCTTCTATAAAAATGACTCCGCTGATGTTGGCTATAAGCCGCCAATTTTTCTTTCATGCAAATTATCGAATTCCCGTCTGCTCAACAACAACGATATGTTTTTGATAGAATTAATTACCCTTCCATGTAATTATGAGCTAAGCGATAGGATTTAAGGGATTTTGCATGAAGCAATTCTTCATTCGAGTAGTTCTTAATTTTTTTGTAACAACTGCAAATTTCCGATATGGCCCATCATAATAACGCTCCTTTGTTAAATACTATTAATATCTACGAAAGAGGTTTACAAGACTGAGGTTCCTTTAAAAATCATGTTTGTTCAATGCAGATTTTTAGTTTTGTCATAACCACACGTTATAAGCTCAATGCATCAACTGTTGTGAATCAGCGAAAGAGAAATAAAGAGTGACGGAAAATATGATAACACGGACTGAAGCATGAATATAGGGATGGAAAATAATTCGCATTTTGCAACTCACCTTTACCAAACGTCAAGTAAGTCGTCGTTGAAGTCCAGACTGCGAATGTAAGAAACGTTGAAAATTCCATGATTTCTCAAGACATCGGAGCTCAATATTGATGCTTTCAGTGTGCCACAAACTTGGTGTCGACCACCTGCATTTAATTATGGATTTAGTAATAGAAACCGGCCTATTAGTATTGAAATTGGGATGTTAACACAATTAACAGCCGTCAGTCCTGCCCCCTGCCAATAATATGCGTGGGTACGCGTTTTAAAGACCACGAATGAACACGTTTCCAATGTCTTCCTTTGTGCTATTTAGAAAGACTTTGGTTTTGAGGGGCTACGACTCTATCGGTGTTCATCAACAGATTAGTAAAAGGGCTTTTTCAAACAAATTTCCATGACATTAACCTCAATTGCTTCATAATTATAGTCATTGGAGTGCGTTTAATACCATAACATTATAAACATATTCTTAAGAACATTAAGAGAACATACTCCGATAATGCAGTCACATAAAAAGCCAAGTTCCCTCGAGTTTCTGAGAGGCAACACCTTTAAATTTTCAAGATCGATCCATAGATTCATTGTTTCTTTTTTTAATTTTTAATTGAAGTGTCAATAATTGACGAAAAGACAATTCTCACAGAAAAATGGTAATAAAATAGATCTTATTTACCGAAAGTTCCCCTCACGAAATCCTGCGCCAAAAAAACCTGAGCCCTGCATTCGCACAGTTCGCCTTCACTTTCAAAAAACATGAACTCTTAATTTAGACTATATCTTGAAATAAATCTGAAAGTACAAAATAAGCCACCTTCTCTAATGGATTGTGAGTCTTTTGTTCTAATTCGCAGAGATGAATAAGCGAAACTCCTTTTTGAATTTCGAATATCGTGTTTGTAGTTGTTATGGTGTACCACCCACTGCACTACATCGAGCAAAATATTTTGTCGTTTGGCCCTCCTATCTAGTCGAAATAATACAGGAACGCAATAATTTGAAGTCCTAAGTAATGAGCCATTTTATCTTCTGCGAAATTCATTAACGTCAAGATTGATTAATGACGAGTTCTAATAATCTCTTTAGTTTGAACAAACAATAAATCACCCTTAGTCGGTGGATATTAAGCAACAGAAATTCCATAAATTTTCTGAGCAACTTACGACCTATGTCTTGATACATCAGGATTGAATAAAGATTGTCTAAGCAGAACCCCTCAGAAACCTTTTAATAATTGAGCACGATCCAGTGTAGACAGCTGCTATACTTAATCCAGAGCCTTAGTGAGACGACGCTCTGAATGTTGTTTTAAGCGCCATCTTCATCTTAAAGATAATAGCAAATTGATGTTTGGAAAAGGTGTGCCGTAATTTATGATTGGATTCATCTGAACTATCCAGTATCGGATCGGGCCTCCAAGGCCTTCATTGGAAGGCCTTTTAAATTATAAGACATTTTCATGTTTTCCTCCGTTAGATAAAATTGGTGCAGACTTTAGGTTAACGAGACCTGTGAGCCAAAATTTGGTTCCCAACTCATTATTCTGATTGGGAGTCATGTAAATCAACTTCCATATTTTCTCAAGGTTCTTCTATTTTAAAATTATCATTTTTGTCATAATATGAACGGGCTGCATATCAGTCCAAGTTGGGGATAGGAAAAAAAATTGTAAAAGGAAATCTTTATTAGTACAGAAAAAAAAACAACCATATCTTTTCGCAAGTTGGATATTTCAAGTGAAGAAGATTTTTGTCATCAACTCTATTTTTCGTTAACGTAGATTGAACCCAAACAGCGAGCTTCGTCACCCCATTGATTTCTCTCTCATTGCTCTATAGAATTTCCTGTCGTTTCGAGTTTCACAATTTGTGACGAGCTTGGAACCGCCAGCACTGACTTTTTATAAATTAGCACTTTTCTCTATTTACGGTAATGATGGAACTACAATTTCAACAAGGGGTGTCATTATAAACGTAAACAAATATCGCCGAGAAAAGGTTCAAGAAGTATACCCGTTGTAGGAAACTAAAATTAGGGATAATGATCTTGTTTATTTTGAATAGCCGAGGCTGTTTTTTCGCCAAAAGTTTGTTATACCCACATTTGGAAGCTCGGTATTTTTCATTTTCGTTTTATTTCAACCACACAAAAATAGAGGAGTTAAGGGTGGATATCCAATTTATATCATGGAATGAAAGTCAAACTCAAGTTATCCTTGCATTAAGTTTGATCATTTCTTACCTTTAAAGGTCCAACGTTCTTTGGTGCCCGACTTTGGTTAATTGAGCTAAACGCGTTTTCTTTTATTACTTTCTGGTAGCTATGGTTACGATAGAAACTGTTGGATTCAAGCCAAGATGATCATTAATATTAGAAATGAACTTCCCTCTTCCTGTTTGGGCTCTTTTCATAATAAGCTAAATTGGTAAAATAATACCAGGTGAAAACTGACTGGAGTAATGCGTCTTAAACTATAAATTGTTATTACTAATTCCTCGAAAGTGTTGCCTGTGGTCAGGTGCCAAAGGCGTTATAATTAATTTCACAAAATGGTTAAAAGCTTATGAGACAGGCAACCCTACTTTCATAAAAAAAATCGAAACAAGAAAAAGTGGTGCATTCCAAATGCCAGCTATGTAAAAATTACTTCGCTTAAGTTGGTCAAGAGTGACCAATTTTTCTTCCATGCAAATTATCGAATTCCCGTCTACTAAACAACAACAAAATGTTTTTGATAGAATCAATTACCCGTCGATCCATAGATTTAGCGTTTTCCTTTTTTTTTTCTTTTCTTTTCTTTTCTTTTTTCATTCTCAGGAGAGAAGTTCTTACAAGATTGATCGAAGCGTCAATAATTGACGAAAAGCAATTCATACTAAATATGAAAT